AAAAAAAAAAAAAAAAAAAAAAAAGTCAGAAGACTCAGAACCAGGGAGAAAACGCCAGAACAAACTACAGAACAAATGAATGAACAAGGATGAACAAACAAACAAACAAGCAGAAACGGAAAAAAAAATAAAAAAAGGGACACCAGCACAACCAAAATGGATGAATGATTACAGGAGAGGGCTGGATGGACTCCCGAGAAAGTGCATGGGTGACATAGGGGCTCACGCCACTAAATAACACTGTACATGTATCTGGACTGCACTGTAGCACGGATGCATTCTTAGGTATCCCGCGTTTTGAATGTATAGGGAGCATTACCGGGTGCAGGTACATTTAGAATATTGTGCAGAGGGCTGAGGTCCATAATCTCTCTCATCGTCCACCAAAGACAAGGAGTCGTCCGCTATTCACTAATGAGTGCCCCAGATTCCTGTTAAGACAAGAAACATGCGGCTCCACCAGGCAGGAGATTCAAAAGAAATTATGGAAGAAGCCCCCCCTTAGGCACCTCCTACCTTCCTTCCATTAACGGTGTCCGGCCTCGGCCTCAGCCTCAGCGGACACACAAGGCCCTGTAGTTGAATCACTGCCCACTGCCCACTGTAGCGAATACTTGGTGGATAAGACCGCCTTTTACCTTTCCCAAAGTAATGAAACCCTATTCTGCAGCCATTCATGAGGATGGGGAAACTGAAGCAACTGAGAAAAAGAAAAAAAAGCGTTTCTGGCACCCGCGTCGATACTTCGATTCTATTCTAGATGCATTTCGGTGGAGCTCGACTTAATTCGGGGAATTTCGCAGAAATTCTACCCGAATTAAGCCGGTGGAGCACAAGCCTCAGTCAGTGACATAATAGAAAATGATTCCGGGGTAAAACGTCCCAAGGTCCCAATTATCCTCATTCGTCACTTCTGACCATTGATGCCAAACATCCACAACCAAAAGTAATAAAGGGCCCATATAAGTGGAGCTTCAAAAATAATAAAATTAAAATTAAAAATAAAATAAAATAATAAAATAAAAAATAAAAAAAGAAGGAAAGAAGAAGAAGAACAAGAAGAAGAAGACATAAAAAACATCCACAACCGAAAGTAATAAAGGGCCCATATAAGTGGAGCTTCAAAAAGAAGAAGAAGAAGAAGACATAAAAAACATCCACAACCAAAAAAGCAATGAAGGGCCCATATAAGTGGAGCTTCAAAAAAAAAAAAAAAAAAAAAAAAAAAAAAAAAAAAAGAAAAGAAAAGAAAAAAAGAAAGAAAGAAGAAGAAGAAGAAGAAGAAGAAGAAGAAGACATAAGCGGGACCAGCTGCCTGGAGCTGTATGCGCTGCTTTAAAAAGAACATAAATAATCGAAAGGAGTTACCATAGACGGGCGCTGCGACTGATGAAAAAAAAAATAACGATCAAAAGTAAAGATTTAACGGATTCAAAACTTTGAAAAATCCCGCGTCTCACGACAAAAAAAAAAATGCACTCATGTTGGCCAAAGACCCTACTAAGACCTCGGCCTTTGTGTTAGTGGGACCCCTCACACCGCCGGCCCCGCTCCATCTCTGTGGCAACTGCTGTTGGGGCGCAGGGCAACATGCAATCCCTTTGAGGTAGCAATGCTTGCAGTGGCAGGTAGATAGTAAAAGGTGAGCAAGAGTTTGAGAGAAGAATGTAGGTATATACTATATATACTATATGCTAATATAGTGTAGTTACTGTAGTTTGGTTAAAAAAAAAAAAAAAAAAAAAAAAAAAAGCCTGGTTCGAATCCGTGTATAGCACACCGAACACGTTCGGAGCTTTTCTGAACGTCCGAACATGTTCGGGTGTTCGGCCGAACGCCTCCCGAACATGTTCGCCCAAACGTATTAAAAAAAAAAAAACACAAAAAAAAGTTAAAAATCAGTGCAAAGCACAGATCTAATACCCAAGGACATAAATAATCTCCCAGGACAAGGAGCCCCCCATCCCCACCACAAAAGGACAGCGTAAAATACTAAAAATTTAACAAAAGTTACAGAATTTACAATTTTTAATTTTACACACACACACACAAAAAAAGAAGATAATGTGACGGCTACATCATTTATAAATTATACTCTATTAATCTCTACTCGCTTATTTCATGACAGTAATGGCTATTTAGTATTTACTTAGCAAGTTAGCACGTAGTAGCAACTTGGGTAAGTAGTACTAAGTACCATCAGATTTGCAACAAGGTGAAAATTATCGGATCATCTATGTATATGTGCTTGCAGCGCTTGGACGAGTTTTTTACTTATATATATTGGAATGGCTATAAGTGCTGAGCTTTTTACTTTATCAAAGCATGTCTCATTACTTTAGATTTTTTTTTTTCTATTTTTTTCTTATCAATAATGGAAAAAATTATCAGCCGGGCGACCTGGGGGAACCTGCCCGGGAGGGGGACCCAACGGTGGTATCCGGGCGACAACACCAGAAGGGGGGTCAAATTAATAATTAATAATTATGATTAAATTATCCTTTTTATTTGTTTTTGGTAGTGGAGCAAATTTTGCGACCACAGAGATGTACCCAAATCCGGCCTCATCTTCGAATTAGATGATGTCCCGTGAAAGGGGTGTCCATGGGGCATAAGGGGGGGTTCAAAGGGGTGCAAAGGGCTTAAAACTTAAAAGGGGTGCGAATCCGTGTGATATAATTTAGTGTTTGGCTTTGATTTTTTGTTTCGAATTTGATAACGAATTTTGGTGTGACCCTCAGCCAAACATTGTCCGATTTGCAATTCGGCATGACATAGTTTTTTTCCCCAGTTTTTTTACACTTTCTTTTCCCTTTTTTGACCTAGGGCTGCCTGGGACCCTGACCGGGACTTTGCCCTGACCGGGCCTGTCCGCGCCACCTGGGCCAGTCCGAGGCCGGTGGCCTGGCTGATAGCCCAGTGTGACAGGGCATTGTGACCCAACAAACCTCTTCCGTTGTTAATCACAAAGCCCATAGCCCCATACATATATTGCAGCCGGAAGGAAGTGGGAAATGGGGAGGGCCTGGCTGATTTCCTTCGGGACATCCGTCAAAACTGGAACGATACAGAGAAGATTAGCATGGCCCCTGCGCAAGGATGACACGCATAAATCGAGAAATGGTCCAATTTTTTTTCAAAAAAAAAAATAAAAAAAATAAAAATAAAAATGGGGAGAGGAATGATGATGGGATCAAGTCCAGGGTAAGCACGACTGTCGTCACCCGAATAGAACACCCAGTTATTATCCCTGTATCTAGACAAAAAACTTGCCCCACATTCAGTTATGATCACCAGGGAACGTTATGTTTGGGTGAAGACAGCAGGAAAAAGAACTGTCCTCCAGGGGCGTGGTCCCACTAGCAAAGAGGATCGGATCGAATGCCTGAATCTGGACGAGTTTATGGAGATGTGCAGGAAATCGAGATTGAACTTCTTTTCTGCATCTGTGTGCTTAACACACATCCAGATTCAGGAGCTCGATCCTATCCCTTTTGCTAGTGGGACCTCCGCCCAGGACACCCATTGAAACTGGAACGATACAGAGAAGATAGATTTTCGCATCGCCCCTGCACGAGGCCGACATTCATAAATCGAGAAATGGTCAAAATTTGTTGCCATTTTTTAATTATTTTTTTATTTTTTTATTTTTTCTAAAGAAGGAAACCCACCTGCTGGAAGAGTGCAAGTGCATTCTTGATCTCCGCAACAGTCTTGCGAACCTGCCAAACAAGGACGGACACACGGAACCGCAAGACCAAACCAAAGGGAAAGGAAAAAAAAAAACAAATGAATAAGTAAAGAAAAAGGGGTACATTCAGGAAGCGAGGAAGAAAAAGCATCACTCACTCCAAAAATCATGTTCAACCGTTCAAGGAAAAAAAAAAAAAAAAGGCCATCAGTCACCACCTGAGAAGACACGAGCGAAGTATGCTGATGCCAAAAAAGAAAACTTCCCTACAGAAAACAAATAACCGTAGCCGGGGCATGGCCCCACTTAGGGACACGCCACGCCACGCCACTGTTCGAAAAAAGTACGACTGCATGTTCCAGCAGGGGAGTGGCCATATGCATCCATTACTACTATGAACAGTAACGGATGCATCTTGCCACTTTCTGGGGAAGATGCACTCACTCTTCTTTTCGTTTCGACAGTGATGTCGCGAGGCCCTTAGACCGACCGTTCAGTTGAGCAGCTACCGTCTTTTTTCCCCCGAACATAACGCACCCCAAAAATGACTGTATACAAGAGCTATTTCCGGGGGAAGACGGTAGTTCAGCGGTACGACACAGTTACTGTGAATAAAAAAAAATCGAAATAAAATTTACAAAAGCTAGAGTAAACATAACTGCAGCTCAAAAAACATTTTTTTCCCCCCCCACCAAAAAAAAAAAGAGCATTTTTTCCATGTGTTTGAAAATGTAAATCGGCGCACCGAAATAGACCTCAGTGAAACTCTCCATATACTACGCGACATTTGGAGACTGGGACCTTTCGATCTAGTGTAATGAATGTGGACAGCGTGCATGGCCCGGTGCATTCACCGCCCCGAAGGCTGCAGGCAAACACATCATCAACACTCTCCGCCAGAGTGTCCGCCCATGAGGAGGCAATGATGGCTCAACACCAACCACCAGAACCGCCAGAGTGTCCGCCCGAAGAAAAAGGCGCAGCGGTTGACCTACTAGGGCGCCCTACCTCGAGTGGGGCGTCTAGTCTAGCTCAACAGGAAACCCAACCCCACCCGAACCGAAAGGGCCAAAGCGTCTAAGAAAGTGGATTTTGAGGGGCAAGAAAATATAGGAAATGAAATTTTAAATTTTAATACACCAAATCTAATAGATTCTGTGGTGAATCTCTCTCCAGAGTCTCTACTTACAGATTTCCAGTAGATCAACAGCAGCGCCCTGTCCCACACGCCACTCGTGGTTGGAACTCCTCAACGCTGAGCTAACGTCAAAGTCGTAAGTGGGACCTAGCCCCAGGGCCCAAGTCCCACTAGCAGGGGTACATGGTTGAAGTTCATCAACGCTGAGCTAACGTCAAAGCCGTAAGCGGGACCTAGCCCCAGGGCCCAAGTCCCACTAGCAGGGGTTCAGTCTTCCTTCCGAATACTTTTTAAATGGGCACAGTACGGCCGCGAGATTTTCAGATCGGATGGCAGGAATCGGTGCTGAGCTACCTCGAAGTCGTAAGTGGGACCTACGCCCAGAGGCCAAGTCCCACTCGAGCGAGTTTAGTCTTCTTTCCAAGTATTTTTTCAACGCGGTCACAATGCGGCTGTGAGATTTTCAGATCGAATGGCAGGGACGGTGCCTCTGTGAAACCAAGGCTAAAGCCCCGCTAGTGGGACTTAGCTCCAGGAGCGTAGTGGGTGCATGCATTTTGAAAAAATGGTCACTGATCATACATACTACCTTCTGCGCTTGGATCTGGCCACGTTTCTGCGCTTGCGCAGGTGCCAGATCCATCGGAAAAAGGCCCCTGCTCTCTCTTTCTCTCTCTCTCTCTCTCTCTCACACACACACACACACACACACACACACACACGGGCTGCCCTTTTGGAGCACACGGAGGATGGCTGTGGTTCCATGGTGTTTTAAGCAGTAGTGCTCCTCGTCTCGTGTGGAGATTCTGTGAATGTATGCTTGGAGTTCTGGCCTCAGTATATTGGAAGGAGGCTCGGAGAGTGTTTGCTGTGGGTGCCATTCCCATGGGATTCTCTTTCGGAGCACATGGAAGAAATGGGGACTTCAAGGGTGTCGCTCCTGGTGTCGCGTGAAGATCTTGTATGTCTTTGGGATTCGGGTAGTCTATACACTCCAGAGGCTAGACAGCTCTTTTGGAGTACATGGATGAAATGGGGCCTTCCACCAGCGTGTTTTAAGCAGAAGCCCTCCTGGTGTCGCATGAAGATCTTGTGGTCTTTGCGATTCGGGTAGTCTATACACTCCAGAGGCTAGTCTGCAGATGGGGCCTGTCTAGCCATTAGTGATAGAGATAGTGGTGACGTGGGTGGGCCGTTTGGGAGGAATAGGAGTGTCAGTGCTGCTGTGCTTGTGGGCTGACTCGGAGGGCTCTCCAAATTTTTTTGGACTATTGCTGGATCTGGTCGATGCTTTGTAAGACTTGCTGGTGGAGCCTTCTGTGTTAGGTATGTTGCCTTCTGCCATTTACGTTTGTTTTTATTATAGATTGAAAAACTATATATATTTCTGCAAGTGTGCCGCTCTGGCGGTAGAGGGGTGTGTGGGCACTTTCCCGCTCAACCACACAGACGTGGGAAACCTTGCACCTTTTATTATATTGCTCATCTGTACTTTTTTTTTTGTTTATCAATGGTTTGTGAGAAATTGTGACGGTATGTGGATGAAATAAGAGAGAGAGAGAGAGAGAGAGAGAGAGAGAGAGAGAGAGAGAGAGAGAGAGAGAGTTTGGGGATGTTGAAACACACACACACACACACACACACACACACACATGGGTGTCTCTTTTTCTCTGTCTCCGCACACACACACACACACACACACTCACACACACACTCACACACACACTCACACACACAAACACGCGCGCGGGTGTCTCTTTTTCTCTGTCTCCGCACGCCCTGCGAACGCGCGTTGGCACGCGTGACACAGAGAGAGAGAGAGAGAGAGAGAGAGAGAGAGAGAAGAGGAGCAAATGAATCTGTTCATATTTCTTCGCAAGATCATAGCAGAAATGTGTTGCCATATGCATTCGAACATGGCCCCTTCAGCCACGAATGAGGAGGATGAGAGGGGTGTGTCACACCACGTGGAAGAGGCGGAGTAGGAGGAGGAGAAGGAAGAGCGCGTTGACGAGGAGCGATGGTAGACTGAAAGTTGCCCGTAATACAGTATGTGCTGTTTCAAGTCGGCCTCGACCCCCGTGGGCGTGACAAAAAGATTCCCATGTACGACAAGGGCATGGCGCAAAGAGAAGGACTCTGCAGGACTACTGGTCCGCGGAGGGTATGACTGAAAGCTGCCCCCACTTCTGACAGGGGCTTGCCGGAAAGATTTTGACGCCCCAGGGGCACTGCAGGAAGTCTGTTGACAGAGCGGCGTGACGCAAATAAAAGCAACCTTTTCAGGGTCATCGACTCATCGCACAAATTCCCTCCCCTCCCCTCCTCCCCGTCCCCCACAAAAAAAAAAAAGAAAACAACAACAACAACATCAGTTCCCGGTCCCTTCGGCCCCAATGATGCCCTTCCCAGTCCTTCGATCTCTCCTCGTGTTTTCGTCTTTTTCTGACACAGGACATCGATTGTCAACATCGGCGTCTGCAGGGGCCAATTACGTTTATTAGAATTAGATAATGGGCCTTGCTGAACTACTCACCAAATGCGCAACCTGAGAAATGAGTCCTCCTCTAGAGCACGCAAAGAGTACAGTGCCATCTTTTTTATTTTTTTTTTGTCTTTTGTCACGTTTGTGAACTTTGTGCATGTGGTGAGCTGTTGAGCGAGGCCCAATGGCGAAGTTGTAGCAGTCAAAACTCATAGTATATGATGATTATAACATCTGCTGTCTTTGCGGCGAACTCCGTAGACATCTCATGTCCATGTCAGAGCATCCAACAGGACGATGTCAGCAGTGGTGCGTAAGATCAGATGCGGTAGGAAATTAACTTCAATTGGACTTTTTGGTGTGTATCTGGCTCCAATTGAAGCCGCATTCTGTCCAAGAACTACAATCGTTAACTTCCTACCAAACAGTGTTCTGAGTTGTAATCCTTTACGCATCACCGGCGATCAGAATGTGGCTTCAATTGGAGCCAGATACAACTCAGAACACTGGACAGCCACTCTCTCACACGGTGTTCTGAGAACATGCTCACACTTGTAGTTCTTGAACAGAATGCGGCTTCAATTGGAGCCAGATACACACCGAAAAGTCCTAGCGTAGTAATGTGTGTGAATATACCCTTGCTCATGCTACACACACCCAACAATACATTCTTTGGGTTGTTCCCCTTTACTCATCATGAGAGGATGCTCACACTTATACTTCTTAGACTGAATCAGGCTGCAATTCCAGTCAGATACGCCCCGAAAAGTCCTCGACTCCTCGTGCCTGAATATACCCTATATTGCTCATGCTACACACGAGCAACTATGCATATTCTTTGGATCGTTTCTTCAGTGACGATCCTGCATTGGCAATCAGTCGCAGGACTTTCCCCCAAAAACAACAAAATGAAAATCAGTAGCCAGATAGTCCTCTTCTCCGATGACAGAAGTCAATGCCCCAGATTTCAAAGATAACAACAGGTGCTCGGTCAAACCAGCCGGCGATTTCACTTCTCCTTCCACCTGTTGCCACATGTCGCGACCCAACATCACCTGGCTTTACGACCTGAAGCAACAACAGACTGTGAATAATAATAATAATAATAATAATAATAATAATAATAATAATAATTGGGATCCAGCTTCGCTCCAAACTGGCCTAGCTCCATTGCTGCACCCATGAACTGTTGAAATACAGACCCAAGTTCAAATCTGGATGCAATCAGCTGAACAGAATAAAATAATTCTGGACTTCCCAGGCCAGGTCCACTCAATGATAATTCCTCAAGGCCATATAGGCCTTTTGAGAGAAGGTTTGACAACAACAAAAAAAAGGGTTCGAATTCTTCGATGCCTGGTGGTAGGTTTATCATTATAGCCCAGTAATCGATCCGCATCCAAACGGAATTCCGCAGCCAAACGGAATCGAACCGGTGACCTTGGCTGTAGCAGCCGGATGGCTTTACCACTGCAATGGTGACCCGGTGTTCAAAAATGAAGCCACCATACCGGTCGTGACGTTCAGCCCTGTTGGTAGGTTTATCATTGTAGCCCAGTAATCGATTCGCAGCCAACCGGAATCGAACCGGTGACCTCGGCTGTAGGAGCCGGATGCCTCTACCACTGCAACGGTCAAAACTGAAGCCACCATACCGGTCGTGACATTCAGCCCACCCCAGCACCGTTGCAGCAAGGACATCCATGAGATCTTCCGGAGGCAGCAGCATCCACGCAGAATCCAAGACCCTCCGCAGTAGACGTTTTGACAGCCAAAAAAAAAAAAAAAAAGGCTTCGAATCTTCGATCCCTGGATCGTATGGGTGAATAGTACCGAGTACAACCACCGACGTGCTACCGCAGCAAATATATCATCATGACTCATGAGTTAACAAAAAAGTTTTTCAAATCCTGAATGGGTTCCGACGATGGAATCCGGTGAATACAATCACAGCGCGGACTACCTTTTCCCTTTATGACCGCAAAAAGAGAGAACCAAAAGGAAAATAGGAAAAACCTTTGAGTCGTTGACCGGAAAAAAAAAAAAAAAAAAAAAAAAAAAGGAAACACCTTCGAACACTTGCAAATGGAGTGACACAAAGTGCAAACTATACCATTTTCACACCAACAGATCGTAAGGTCGATATGGATGCATCTAGAGTCTAGAACTGAAAATTGAGTCTAGACTGAAAATTGCCACCAATATATAATTAAAGAACGTACAGTCATTACCGCTGTAGACTGAAAATTGCCCCAAATGCAGCTATAACGACTGTCCGACTTATACATTCGGTTCGGGGGGAAACGATGGTCGTCTCGAAGTCTCTGTGATCAGGTAGGTATAGTACATCTTTTTATGAGAAGAAACAAGAAAGGAGAGGAGGAGATGAAAATTGAGTCTAGAGTCTAGACTGAAAATTGCCACCAATATATATTGCTATAAAGAACGTACAGTCATTACCGCTTTATGTAGACTGAAAATTGCCCCAAATGCAGCTATAACAACTGTCCGACTTATACATTCGGTTCGGGGGGAAACGATGGTCGTCTCGAGGTCTCTGTGATCAGGTAGGTATAGTACAGCTTTTTATGAGAAGAAAAAAGAAAGGAGTGGAGGAGATATGCTCACCTCATCGGCACTGCACTTGGTCTTCTGGAGAGTAGAGACGGCCAGCTTCTGCATTGCGACCGCTGCGTCGAACTTCAGTGTGTAGTTTGTGGGTGCCAGATGCATCGCTTTCCTTAACACTTTCTTGCACTCCTAATCTTGTTCAAACATCAAAGCCACAGTCAATCTCAATCACCGTTCTTCTCATATGACCATCCCCTTCCCTCCTCTCAGTGCTACCGTCCTTACCCGAATAGAACGCCCGGTCATTATAGCCGTATTTGGTGCAACTTTCAGTCTACATACAGCGAAAATGACCGGGGGTTCTATTCGCGTGAAGACGGTAGGCTACTTGGGTGGCCCGGTCGTGCACCACGGGGAAGTTGCCAAGCGGTCACCTGCACAGGGCACCCCGAGCAGGCAAAAATCAGCCCGTTCTTTTTTTCCTGTTCTTTTTTTTCCTTTTTTTTTTGGTGGGGCACCTCTGCGCCCACCTGGCCCTGTCCCGAATCCGGGATCATTTCATTTATAAAACGCTTTCAGGTTCCCACCAAACCAGACTCAAAACAGACTCAGAAAAGACTCAAAACAGACTCAGAAAAGACTCAACGCACACTCAACGCTCAAAACAGGCTGAAGACAGAATCCGACAGACTAGAATGGACCTTTAGACTAAATAAAAAAACAGACTCAAAATGTTTGATCGGATGGGAATCATGGGATGTATCTGGTCCATAGAGTCCAGATACATGTCAAATGCTGAGTAGGTGAGCGAGGCCGACCGTGCAACGCAGGAACCAGCATACGTGGCGCCGCGGTACAAATATGGTACAGTTAGTCTAAAAAAAAAAAAAAAAAAAAAAAAAACATGACTTCAGACTCTCCGGGGTCCGGCATCCAGTACCACATTCTGGTAACCGGTCTGGATGGCGGGCCCCCAGGCCAACGGCCAAAGTTTTTTGGGCGGCCCAGGGCATTTTTTCACGCCCTGGACAGCCCCCAAAAAATTGGCCCATTATTTTTTCGCCCTTTGGCCATGGTCCGGAAGGGGCGGAAACTCCTGGCCCCACTGTTTTGTTTTGTGCTTGGAGAACGAATCTACTGCCCCGGCGCTTTGTTTCCATTCGCGCAGGAGCGCTTTTTAGGGTGTTTCAGGCCGGCGTGCCACTGATGTTCGAATATAAGTTCATAGCTGCATGTTTAGCATGTTCGGATTCAATGCAAAAAATACCAAAAAGATATGGAGACTTACTTGTTCTCTCTCTCTCTCTCTCTCTCGGCAACATTTGCATCTGACAGCACCTTAGTCCATACACCGGGATTTCTTTTCAATGTATCTGTCTGTCGCAGTGTATCTTCCTATGTTCTTGCCGAAGATTCCTTCTCATTTTGCATATTGGCAGGCTGCTCAGTTGATGCACACATGAAAAGAACAAAGAAAAAAGAAAAAACGAAGTGTGGCAGTGTATATTTCCATGTTCTAGCTGAAGATTCATTCCGATTTTGCTCATCCTACATACACACCGAGGTAATGTGTGTATGTACGTGGTTTTCTTCTTTTTTTCCCCGGAAAATACGGGGATCCAGACAGGCATTTGGAAAGGAGATCCAGACCAGTCCCAATCCTCCGGAGAATTCCGGCGTTTCAGAAGTCCGGAAGGGCCCGGAAGGTCCAGGTTCGGGGTTCGGATTCGATCTGGTCCGGCATAGCTACGCAATGAGCATAGCGGCTACCGTCTTTGAAGAAAACAATGATAGAGCAATGCACTTGTACAAGGGCCTGAACCAATGCACACACCACTGGGTCTCCTGAATTTGGTCTGCTTTTCTAACAAAGTTCATGTTGGTTTGCAAGGACTTGTATCCGCATTCGTATTCATTGCGATCACCTGAGTATGTTTACTTTTCCCGAGGGTTGCATACCTGCTGACCGCGGACACCGACCGCCGACTGTTTTGCAGCCGACAAGTGGGGCCGACCGGTCAGCGGTCTGCCGACCAGTCAGAAAACAGCCATCCTGGAAGGAAAATGAGTGAGAGCGATAGACAGAAATCGAAGTTGCAAAATCATGTAGTAGTCCAGATAGTCATGTACCAAGCAGAGAGCACAATGCAGCAGGATACCATAGAAATAAGAGAAAATATAATGAGCTCAAGTGCCAATGCCGAGGTTCTCTGGTCACGCCAACACTGTATCCAATGGTGCTCCTACGGTCAGGCGCCCAGCGCCCAGCCTACCCTACTCAGCCTATCTATCCTATCTACGTTCATGCGACTGGATCACATCGAAGTTGAAGACCTTTGTACGTGACGTCATCACCAATGCAGACCGCCAGCATACACCATGGTACGTGCTCTCTCCTCCCCTCATCACCCCTCGACACCCCACCTCATGCTCCTCCTACCTGAAGACCACCTTCGCCATCATGTGCACCCACACTGCTCGGCCCGGGTATGGCAGCCATGCGTCGGCTGCCACTGCAGAACCCCCCCTCGCCTCCTGCGCCTGCTTGCGCCCTGGCCTGCCTAAACAGCACAGCTTCATGAGGCGTAGCAGCAGCGTGGCCGCATTGCCTGCTCAGGCCAGAATGCGGCTGCCTGGGCAGGGCACTTTCCTTTACGGAAAGTGCAGCCCTGTGTCTGGCTATGTCGACCTGGCTGGGGAAGTTTTTAGTAGCTTCCAGTCGGGCCCCAGTGTCTGCGCCAAGGCCCCACCTCGGGCTGTTATGGGCCTGGGCCCTTTTCAGTTGGGTATGGGGGTGTTGGTGGGTTTATTGGGGGTTCTGGAACCTGGACCCTTTTTTCCTTCTTTTTTTTTTTTTTTTTGCGGGGTGTTGACGACCCCCGACCGGTAGGTGCCGACCCATCGAGAGCGCCGACCGTCATGGTATGAAACACTGCTTTTCACCCATAATGTGCACGCTGCTCAGCAGTACAACAGGCAGTGTCATGGACGAACACAGAACTCTTCACTTGCTGCTCATCTCCAATTCTCCATACACGGTACAAAAAGAAAAAGAGTATCATGACCAACATCAATTCCCATAACTTGGTGAAGAACTAGGAATTCAAGACAGTTCATGTAACTTTGAAGCTCAAACTGTAAACTTAACCATGTTTTTTTAACCAGACAAGATCAGCGCGCACCCATAATTAACAGAAAAGTTGAGAAAACAGCATCGCACGACCCCAAGACAGTTCAGGCAACCCGTTAAGCTAATCTTTTTTTTTTTTTTTTTTTTA